TATATGTATATATATGTGTGTGTGTGTGTGCATAATCACGATAGGTTTGACAGATGATGAGGACATACAAGTACTAGCTATACATACTGATATTAGCTGAACATTCAGGTACTAAAATTTATATATATAAATAAATATATATATATTTATATACCTATTTTGTTTATATATATATATCTTAAAGTAACTCTGTTTATTAAAAATAAGTCCTGTCCTCGTTGATGTACAAACCTTATTGTTTTGATCCCTCCCACATCCTTAGACGATGCTTATCCCCCGCCAGTACAAAACGAGGCAGCGCGGTTTGTGCACAACCTGTGCTACACGTCTCCATTGGCCTTGCAGATGTTCGTTGCCTGTCGGGGGTTGCCTACCCTCACAGCTATGTTAAGGGCCGATATGCACCTGTGCAGTCCTGTGGTAGAGGCGGCGGTGGATAGTTTGTTCTACATCTTTGACACGCAGGTGTGGGATGTATGAGGGTTTAGAGTTTTAGGGTTGAGGGTTTTATAAAACCCTGAATCGGTCATGTGGTAGAGGCGGCGGTGGATAGTTTGTTCTACATTTTTGATACGCAGGTGTGTGGGACGTATGAGGACGTCAGTGTGAGTCTTGCACTTGTACTCGCTTGCCGTGTTAGGTGTTAGCACATTGGGTGTTTTTGGTTTTTAGATATTTTTGGTTTTTAGGTGTTTTTTGGTTTTAGGTGCTCGAGGGTTTAAAAATTGTGACGTATTTAAAGTTTCCGGTACACTGACCAAATGGCTCGTTGTTTGAGTGGTTTTGGGTTTTGGGGTGCAGGGTTTCTTCTACATTTTTGATATTTGCTTGTGTATTGGCTGTGAGGTATAAGCAGTCAACTGTATAGTGACCAGATGGTCATCTGCTGCACATTGGCTCAATTGAAAGTTCTGTTGAGTGCTATTGCGCCCTTGTGAAGTCCATGTTGGCAACCAATCGGTCACAGTCTCGTCTGTAAGCTCAATCTCCGGTGTATAGGGTCTAGGGTTTTAGGGTGTTCTTGTTATTCAACTATAATTTTGGTTTTATTGTGATTTAGGCCAAACACGCCTGCAGAAAACTGACTATAATACCTCTATGTGACCTACATCGATGAGAAAATAGGACTGTTGTAAGCTAGTTCGTTCGGATTGGTTTCCATAGCGATATGTGCCATCAGAACTATACAATTATATACAGTCCATATCTATGCACGTTACATATCCT